TATTACCAAATCTTTTCAATATTATACAACCGCTCTATTTCATATTTTTAGTGCAAAACAGTGTGTATTGAGTCAAAAGAATTAAATAAATCCCTGAAAAATACATCACATAAAGAACCCAAATAATTCAATACTTTTAAGTAATCTGCAAGAATACCGTTAGGTTTGTCGAATCATAAACCTTTAGCCCGTTGCCATGTCTATCGGAACTTACTATATACAGCTAAGAAAGTAAAGAAGACTGCTCAACCTTTTACAAAATAATGCAAGGAGGGAAATTAATTATTTTAAAAGTAATGCCGAGTATTTTACGTTTATGAAAAAAAAGCATATATATGTTAAGTTTTTTTGGAAGCGAGCAATCAGCGACTAATTTCGCTCTCGGAACAGGCTAATTGTAATCCGGCGCTGACCATTAACATTTGCCCATGTGAGGCATTTCTCAAGATCAACGAAAGACAGCTTCTTTCGTCACGTTACACGTCTTTCCCTGTTGACACAGCTGGCTTCTCATTTTCTCGCGTTATTATTAATGATTCTGTATAATTCATCAAAAGCAAATATAGCGTGGCCATTTTCCACTGTATTTCACTGAAAAGCGATGTTAACGGACTCTACGACGGCAATGTTGTAATTCTGGCTCAACTGGCTCTATCTTCTGCTGAAGATTCCATTTTCGACTCACGCTGGCCATTCTCATCAGCACAGGTAGAGAATAACTAACTTCATCTACAGATTTATTTATTAAAACAGGTGCTAAGTTTAAATAAGGAGTTTAAGTAACCACGTCGATTAAAAATGTTTTTATATTTTACCTACGAATCTCGCGGTACTCCAAAGTCCCATTTACCTTATTGTTTATTGAAGTCAAAACTATCACAGAGCTAAATCTGGGACACATGCGGTGATCGATAAATTTGAAACAAAAATCTAGAAAAATTAGTCGTCGTGGTTCACGATTTCCAGACAACGCAGAATTTGGTCATTTCAAGTTGTTGTTGTGCAGAGGACGGCAAAGAAATGTACCCAGAATTATAACGCACGTGCACAGCCATTGTTCTGCTCGTTAAACCTTTTGTTTAGCGGCGTTCCCGTCGCCGTTGCCTTCGTGGTTTTCTTAAACTCCTTATCGTCTCTGTGTTAACTTGGCCGCACGGTTTTCTTCCTTCCTACCGGAAAATCGTTACCACCGAAGAAGACAAAACGAAAAAAGAGATGGAATTATTTTACGCTGAAATATATATTTTTATATATGGGATGATCTAGCAACACTAGATCACACAATAGATCTTATAACTTTGGTTCAAGAAGAGTTGATAGTTATTTTGTTTTTCCTTCAGTGCTAGCAATTTATATTAGTAACCAGTGAGCGAACCGGCTGACAAGGTTCGGCGATAAAAGAGTACACTATTTAAAAGCAATTTATGTATAATAAGAATGGTCGGCTGGAGGCAAGTCCAATAAGCCCACTCTTATTAAATCCCTCTAAATGTCAATAGATTTGAGTTTAGGCATGCTTACAAAGCAATTACTTGATATTTTGTTTCTTTGTTTGAGGGCAGAACTAAATGAGATACCTGCAAAACATCTTAATAGCCGATATGAAGTGTCCCTCATTGCGCATGACTCGTTTTCGCCGACGCAGTTGTCTCATCATCGTCCTTGTGCTGATACTGGCTTTTATCAACCTGCTGCTGTGCTCGTGGAAATGGCAAGATAACGAGTTCAAGTTAAATACATTTGAACTAACGTTCCTGAGAAAGAGAATAAGCTTTAATCAAAAGTCCTTCCCGAAAGCTGCCTGGCAGTCAAAAGCTAATCCAGAGGTTTTGGATCATTCGAAGTCTGGACAAAGATGGACCAAACGGAAACGGTCCAAACCAACTCGAAGCTTAAGGACGGTTCATTACAGCCCCGTTTGGGACCAACTTGAGAATCATGTAAGTCAAGTCTATCAAACGATGTTAAGGAAAGAAGATCGTGGCCCAGCTACCAAAGAATACAAACAATTTATTGCCAGAACTGGAAGGTTGCCAATGCGAAATGGAATTATTAGCAAGGTGAGAAAATTAGTAATGGTAAAAGAGCGGAGTGGAGCCGAATTCGGTTTGTAATCGTACGTGTGCTGGATATTAAGAAAACTTGAAGCGACAGCCTGCTTCCTCTGTTTTACACAGATATAACTTGTGTTCCTTTCGCATCAACTTCAACTTCAACTTAACTTCACTTTATTTTGCATTAACAGTTTTAAAATTACAATATTAGCATAAAAAAAGAAAAAAAGATACATATATAACAACTAAAGGTGACAATGGTCTAAAGTTTGTGCATAGAGGCTAATAGAATCGCGAGGTTATCGAGTTAGCCTCCATCTCGTTTGAGTGAACATAAAAAAACATGGGAGTAGAAGGACGGCTTACTAAAGGAAAAAGCTAGAAGAATCGTTTCATCCGTCGTCTTCGCCGTATAAGGATTCAATTTATGGAGTGTATCTGATTCATTCTACGCCAGCAAAACTTTCTTAAGCTATCGATAAAGAGGTGCGCTGAGATTGCCTTTTCTTTACTAGACAGAGGTGGCGACATCACAAGCGGGCCATGATCATGCCCACCAGAGTCTTTTCCAAGACACGGATTTAGAGGACTATATTGAGGTGAGTGATTTAAATGTCTTTGCTATCACCTACTTTGAAAGACTTGTTGAAAGGTATATCTCTGGTACTTGAGCATAAAGGAGGAAGTCACAGTTTTACAAATCACACGCAAAGAAAGGGTGAATCGCTGGAGACTGAGCAGTGATGTGTAACTCTTGGTAGCAATTATTGCTTTGCAATCTCATTTATGCGTTTTCTAGTCGCATAATTAAGACAGCTGTTTCTAATATGCCTAGAGCATTGATCACTTTTTTTATTATTATTATTATTTCTAATGCTTTTACTGTCTTACAAACGTCACTTACAATACATAAAAAAACCACCTATTTACAATACTTGGCATTACGTTACTTACTTACAATACACATTAATTGCTTATTATGACTTACACATTACGTTACTTAAGGAGTTACAATACAATGTAATTATAGAAAAAAACAACAACAACAACAACAAAACAAACAAAAAAAGGGAAACAAAGACCTTGCAACTAATTACTAAGGGAAACG